ATTGTGGCCACTCGTGTAAGGTCAGGTGATTTAAAAATAGTTTGGACTGCAACGCATCCAAATCCTACTTAATCAGATATACATATGTAACTAAATGCAAAAATAAATACAGTTTTAGGTACAATCCTAATAACTTAATCCTATTTCAACACATGTCTACATAAAACACAACCCTAAGTTCCCTAAAATACAACCCTAAGTTATTATTAAATCTGCAACAAAAAACGTGCGGCCCTTTTACCAGTGCTGATAAACCAAGAGACTGTCGCAACAACAGGTTGCCACAATATGCACCATATACCAATTACGTATGGGCACTAGATTGCAATCAGAAAGTATTATGTCAATTGAATGCGAGTCATCAAAAGTGGATACTAAGTCTATACCTAAAACAGTTCTAAATAAATGAAATAATATACAAATACCAATGTGCAGTGACTAAATACATCAGAATATTTGCATAAGAAAAGCAATATGTGGCAACACTATATGCACTGCCTTATTAGGAATGAAACGGCAATCATCCTCAACACACCGGCCCCAATCATTTTGTTCACAAAATTATTTTAAACAATGAGGATGATTTATCCAACAATCGAACACAATGAAAACATGCAATAAAATAACATACTGAGAACATGAAATGAAACAACATATACAAAAAAATGACCTGGACCACTGAACATGTTTGGCAATAAAGGACAGAAGCTTAAGCAGCTTCAAGTAGGCAGAGTTTCCTAACATCACGAACTAGATCAGAATTCCTAGTATGAACCTTAACCCTCCTAACCATCCCATCCTTATCGGGAAATACCTCAATCACTCTACCCTTGGGCCAAACGCCGCGCGGAGTATCGTCGCCATACAGAAGCACAATGTCACCCACTTTCAAATTTCTCTCAGGAAAGAGCCATTTCTGTCTCTTTTGCAATAGCGGTAAATACTCCTTTGTCCAGCGATTCCAGAATCGATCAAGACTGAGCTGGACATGTCTCCAATTTTCGCGAAACTCGTCACCGCGCGTAAACTTATCGGGAGCAATAGAGGGATCAAGATTTCCAGTCAAAATGGAATTTGGTGTCAGAACCTCCAAATCCCTTGCATCATCACTAATAGGTGTCAATGGGCGATCATTCAGAATTCTTTCTACCCCAGTCAGCATGGAGATGAGCGAAAAATCAGTAAATGTTCGTGATTTAGCACAAATCGCATAAAGAACTCTTTTTGCCTCCCGGACCATTATCTCAACCAAGCCATTCTGGTGAGGTGCTAAAGGCGGTTGAAAATCCCACTGAATTCCATGTTGTGACAGAGAATTTGCAATTTGACTCTGATTCCACTTACAAATCCCCTCAGCAAGAAGTCTCTCACCAGCCACAAAGTTTGTGCCATTATCTGAAATTACATGGGATGGTTTTGAACGCCTATCACAAAATCGAAAAAAGGCCTGCAAAAATGCAGATGCATCAAGTGATTCCGAGACCTCAATATGAACAGCCCTAGTGACTGAACAGGTGAATATGCATCCATACCGCTTGTATTCCTTACGTCCCAATTTGACTTTCAATGGGCCAAAGTAATCTACAGCAGTGTGATAGAAAGGAGTGCGACCACCCAGAACACGCGACTCTGGCAGAGGAGCCATCCACTGTGAACCAGGTCTACTCGCCCTCAACTTGCACAATTTACAAGCATTCAGCACCTTACGAACTTCCGCCTGTCCACAAAGAATCCAAAATTTTTCCCGCACAGAGGAAAGAGTGTGCAATGTACCAGAATGACCATTTTGCCGATGATAATACTCTATTATCAATTTTGTTACATGATGATGAGGTGGTAATATTATTGGATGCTTCTGCTCCGGTGATAAATGTGAGTGTCGAAGACGGCCACCCACCCGCAAAATATCATTGTCTAAAAATGGGCTAAGTTTAATGAGAGCCTTAGAATGTGGTGATGTAGGCAACTTACAACCACTGCTCAAGTAGTTGGTCCGTCATGTACACGCTCACTAAAATATTCGAGCTCTGGAGAAAACGATTCAATTTGGGCCAACTTGCAGATCTGAATAGTTGCTACACTAAGTTCCGTAACAGTTAAATCTCCAGTCATTGGAGAGTCATTTGATCGACAGGTTTTCCACAAAATAAAAAACTTAAAACGCAACATCCATGCAATTGTTCTCGACAATTTTTCCCACGTTGAATAGCGATTTATTAACTCAGGAAAATACTGGGATCTCTTTTGAACTTCAACAAGATTCACCTTAATTTCACAATGTAAATCGGAATTAGTTGGTATGGTATCTGACACTGATGAAGTGCCAGGCCATGAAACACTTTGTTGCCACAAAAAACTCGGACCTTGAAACCATAATTTTGCCTTATCCAGCTTATCTGGCATAAGGCCACGAGAAGCGATGTCTGCTGGATTTTCATTTGTTGGAACATGAGACCACTGCGACACATCAGAGATTGATTGAATAATATTAACCCGATTGGCTACAAAAGTCTTAAAGCGCTGTGATCTACTATTCAACATCTGCAACACAGTCATCGAGTCTGTCCAATAACAAGTTTCGTGTATCTCATAGTCTAGTGCATTTGTGACAGAATGAGCAAGTTCTGTAGCAACGACTGCCGCCGTCAATTCTAGTCGTGGAATTGTCACTAGCTTCTTGGGGTAACACGCGCAGTACCCTTTACAAATGCACAGTGAACCTCGCCGGATTCGTTCTCCAACCTAAGGTACGCTACTGCACCGTAGCCCACTCTACTTGCGTCGCAAAAACAGTGAAGCTGCACATTCGCCGCCTCAAATCCTTCCGGTTTGTAGCAACGTTGTATAGTCAACTCCCTCAAACTAGGCAAGGTGCTGATCCATTTCTCCCAACCATCATACAAGTCTCCCTCGACAGGATCATCCCACGAGTAACCCAAAAAACACAAATCCTGCAAAATGCGCTTTGCGGGAATCAAAAACGGTTGAATAAACCCCAATGGATCATATACCTGGCCAAGCATGCTGAGCATGCCACGGCGCGTTGAGGGTCGAAACTCAATTTCCACCCGAACCTTGAAGACATCGTGCACCATGTTCCAATAAATTCCCAGCGTACGTTCAGTCAACTCTGTACTAAAGTCAAGCGCTTTCGTTGCGGTTGAGCGATCCGCCTCGGGAATCGCTTCCATTACTTCAATTTTATTACAAGCAAACTTTGTAAGACAGAACCCACCCGATGCGAGTAATTCGATCAGCTGATTTATCAATTGAAGTGTTTCATCGACGGTACGTTTCGACTTCACACCATCATCAACGAAAAAACTGCGTTGCACTGTCTGTATCGTTTCCAGATCAGCATTCGTTAGATTGTCATCAGCGACACGTTTCAACACAAATGACGCAATCGAAGGACTCGACGTCGCGCCAAAAACATGCGAACACATTCGCAGATCAATAGGTTTCTTTCCCAAGTCGTCATTCGGATACCACAGAAAACGCATCGCATCACGATCTCGACTGTCCAGAATAACACGTAGATACATTTCGCGCACATCACAAATAAAGGCAACCGCTTCCTCGCGAAACCGCAGTAGAATACTCACCAAATTCGTATTTAGGTCTGGACCTGAAAGTAAATTCTTGTTAAGTGAAGTGCCGCCGCACTCCGCACTGCAATCGAAAACAACCCGGAACTTGGCCCCAGTAGAGTGGTGTGGCATATACCAAGTCCTACCCAGAGACCCAGGATCACCCTCAGGCACTATTTCCGCATACCCCTTGTCTAAGTAATCATTAATTTTGGACTTGTATTTAAAAAATAAATCAGGGTCCCTAATAAATTTTCGTTTTTGGGACTCTAATCTTTTCACTGCCATTTGACGATTGTTTGGAAGTTTAATATTTTTATCTTTCCATGGAAGAGCAACTTGGTACCTCCCATTTACTTTTACTGCAGTGTCATTCATCACTACAAGAGCTTTCTTATCATCTAGGGAATGTTCAGTGGTGAAGGGATCACAATCTAAATCTATAAAATCATGACCACAAATTTTGCACAAAAATTGATCAGTATCACATGCACACACAGTATTTAGACGAGGACATGAAACATCACTTACACTTTCACAACTGCTATGAGACATAGTTCTGTCAGGACCGAAAAGAGCCCAACCAAATACTGTCCTGTGAGCAGCGGGAAACTTTGCCTTTTGATCACAAAGCCTAATTTCAGAAATGGGATGATTGGCTAACACTTCAGCACCAATCAATAAATCAACCTCACTAGATCCTAGCACAGGAAATTCCAAATCACCAAATGAGGATATTTCTGCAACACATTAGCAGTCGGGATAGAACTCTCTAAATTGGGTAAATTAATTGCCAAAACATTGGGAATGTCAACAACCCTTTCCGAATCACAACCTTTTACTTTCAGTGAAACTGTTTTACCACTGTGTAATTTACTACCATTCGCTGTTGCGAGCATACAATCTTCAGGTTTACCCTCAATACCCAATTTTGCAAGTAAATTGTGGGAGCACAAGGATCTGGTAGACCCTTCATCTAAAAAGGCATAAGTACACACAGCATCAGAAGCACCATTGCTGGTAACCTCCACAGGTACAACCTTAAGTCTAACAAAATTTTGAATATTTTCCGAACAATTAACATTTGCGAAATAAGCACCGGCCCCATTTTCTTTCTTGGGGGCAGACACATTATTTTGAGAATTAGCATTGCTAGAAAAATGAGCACCAGTGGTTGGTGGCTTCTTTTGATCAACATGTAATAAACTGTGATGTAATTTACCACAGCCATTCACTTGACACACATATTTAGAAGGACAATTATTTGCACGATGAGAACGATACAAGCAATTAAAGCAAAGATTATTTCGTCTCACCATTTCGGCGCGATCATTAACACTTCTCCCTTTAAACTCGACACAGTTGTGTAAAGCATGATTTCCTTGACAGTCCACACACTTGTACTGCAAATCAGCTACCTTGGGTCCTGGAGTCTTCTCTTGGGTATTGGTGACTGCATACGATGGTTCTTGTCATCCTAGGTTTGGTGACTCGAATAGTTGATTTCTGTTTGGCAGAATTCTTGGTCACAATCCGACCATAAAATGTAGTAGTTAGCTGCGCTTTCTTCACCACGAATGCAACCAAGTGTGAAAATGTAGGAAGTTTACTGTCATCAAATTGGTCCGCATACTTTCGTTGCAAGTACATGGGCAGACGTGAGAATACACGCTCAAGATTTTCATAGCCATCCATGAATGAATTTGCATTCCACTCACTAAGCACAATCTCACAATTACGCAGTTGAGTGGCCAACTTGCAAAGTCCTTGAGTGTCATCGTCCATAATCTTGGGACCATTTGTTACCTCTTTACTTGTAGCTTCAATTACCACAGTTCGGTTACCAAACTGTTCATGTAAGGTTTGCCACGCCATCTGATAGCCCTTGCTTGGTGGCGACACTAGTACTAAATTCTTGATGGCATCCTTTGCGATGCCAGAACACAATTGAATCAGCTGTGCAAGCTTTGTCTCAGGCGCATGTTGGTGACAATGAATGTTAGTCTCAAATGACTTCATGAAGGCATGGAAACGCAGGGGATTTCCATCAAACTCCATCAGTTCAACTTTGGGCAATGTGAAACCTTCTCGCAGAGCATTAATCATAGCACCATAATCTGGAGGAACAGCACTTGTTGCTGTTTGAAGTGGCAAAGCTGAATTCGGTACCGCCTGATAAATCCCATCGCCAACTTGACGATTGCCACTTTCGTATGAATTTACTACTGGCTGATGCGCACCAGTAGCAAGTGTTGACACAGATGGTGCAAAACCGCTCTGAACGACACTCCACTGCCATATGAATTTACTACTGGCTGATGCGCACCAGTAGCATGTGTTAACACAGGTGGTACAGAACCGCAGCTCTGCAGCACTCCTTCTCTTGCATATGAATTTACTACTGGCTGATGCGCACCAGTAGCATGTGTTAACACAGGTGGTACAGAACCGCAGCTCTGCAGCACTCCTTCACTTGTAATAGGGGAAGATTCCCAAACAACAGTAGATTTTGAAGGCTCACGAACCATATGTGCGTGACCTACATCTGAAGCATATTGTCTTATTGGTAGTTGGTGAACTGTTTCATCAGAAGAAAAATGCAATCTCGTGAGATCCACTGAGTCGCCATGTCTGGACAAAGTCCCTGATGAACTAGCCTTTATAAGTAGCTCAGCCTTCTTCTTCTTGCTTCTGTCATTGCTGTTTCTATTTTTTCTTCAACAATTCTTCTTGAGCTTCAAGAAGCATCAGTTCTGCCTGGAGGCACTTTGATGATGTTGATGAAAGTCTTGTTTTCGCTGAGCTAGATGAATGCGTGGAAGCAACTTCAGAGTATTGTATATTTTTCGCCATAATCCACCGGTAGTCGGGGACCGTGTACTATTTTTAAATGTTGATCGGTATGGTGAATATCTGTGGCACACACTCCCTGACTTCAATCAGCCAGTAGCCTATTTGTTGTGCCAGGAATCCTTCTGATAAGTCAACGATGGGAGCTTGCCTTCTGGTTGATACGCTTAACCTGACTGCCGCTGAAATTCCAATGCACTAAACCAGACACAGTTCCGAATCGAACTTGTTTTATTTTACCACTCAACATAAAGTGCTATTGTGGCCACTCGTGTAAGGTCAGGTGATTTAAAAATAGTTTGGACTGCAACGCATCCAAATCCTACTTAATCAGATATACATATGTAACTAAATGCAAAAATAAATACAGTTTTAGGTACAATCCTAATAACTTAATTCCTATTTCAACACATGTCTACATAAAACACAACCCTAAGTTCCCTAAAATACAACCCTAAGTTATTATTAAATCTGCACAAAAAACGTGCGGCCCTTTTACCAGTGCTGATAAACCAAGAGACTGTCGCAACAACAGGTTGCCACAATATGCACCATATACCAATTACGTATGGGCACTAGATTGCAATCAGAAAGTATTATGTCAATTGAATGCGAGTCATCAAAAGTGGATACTAAGTCTATACCTAAAACAGTTCTAAATAAATGAAATAATATACAAATACCAATGTGCAGTGACTAAATACATCAGAATATTTGCATAAGAAAAGCAATATGTGGCAACACTATATGCACTGCCTTATTAGGAATGAAACGGCAATCATCCTCAACAGCTATTCACTTGGCTATTACATACAGTCACAGAACTCGTAATAGAACTAAAATAAGAAAAATCGAAATCAAATTATGGCCTAACCCGAATGTGGTACATATAATACGGGAGTACAGACAAAACTATATGACATGATTAGTAACTTAGGTTACTGAAGACCAACTACTACTAATTAACCTTCTGCCGTGATGATACTGTATTCGTATAATGCAAGCATATTGGGCTGTCATATAGATATAGACCAGTGGTTCCCAAACTAGGGTCCGCGGACCTTTTGGGGTCCGTGAAGTACTTTCCGAGGGTCCGCGAAAGAAATCTGTTGGATGGCTCAAAGTTTGATAATGCAAAAATTAACTGCTTAAATTTGGAAAGACACATTTATCGCATTATGATGCTTTACATACAATCTCTGCTAAGGACACTGATTCTTCACTTTCTGTTTCGATTAGGTTTTCCCGATTGTGACGTCACAAAGCTGTGGCAGCTCCTGCCACGAACAAACCGCGGCGTCTCATGCCATGTTAATGGCGCTATAATTTAGTAATCAGTATTATCGCATATTAACAAAGTCATGTGCCGTATTTTTGTTTAATATACAGAATTATATCTACTTAAATCTGGAACCAAACATCAAATCCATTAAAACTATTTATAAAATAAAAGTACCAACCTACTCATTGTTGTCACCAACAGGGGCAGCCCTGCCTAATACATTCGACATGCCTTGGTTACGGCATCAAAATTTTACCCGACATGATTTTTTATTTTGCTGCCGTGGTACCGGTTTGGGGCAGCTAAAAAGTCAGTCGCCGTGGTTTGACCGGAGCTCCAGAGGTAATCTATGTGCCCAAGATGGCGCACAACCTGAACATGGTATTGTGTACCGGTTAGGGTTTCAGGTCGTGCGACATCTTGGTACATATGCTTCTGGAGCGCCGTTCAGCCATAGCGGCCATTGTTTGAAATCCCGCTAAATACTTAAAACTGCACTGGGAGGTGTAGACGACGCTGCCTTTTGCATGCTTGTTGTTATAGGAGAGAATTACAGTAGGTAGTTGATAAAGTATGCCACTCCGTTTCTATATGCTGTTTTACGCTTTGATGATTTGAAAGGTAGATAGCGTTAAGTATAGCGCAGTCAGAAAGGCACTACGTTGGTTTTAGATGTCAAATTTAGTCTTTGACACACACGGTAACGGTAGGCATATATTTTACGTTTTCAACTCTGTATTATCAATTTCAAAATGTCTTCTAAAATTTAAACTGAGATAATCGTATGTAATTTTATCATGATAAACGCAGGTGAAGATATGTTTTGCACTACACCGTGTGGAGCATTTATTTTTGTTGTGACCTTGTTTTATGTGATATCTTTCTGTCTTTCTTCGATAATGTTTTATTTTAGTCAACTAGTGCACAGGGCCGCGAAACAAAAACAAAATTGCAAGGGGTCCGTCGGACAATTTTTTTGAAAAAGTTTGGGAACCACTGATATAGACGGTAGGTTGCCGTCATGCGGTTAACTTCTTCCGTATATAGATAAAGCATAACGTTTGCCATGTTTTTGTTCGTTAAATGGAAAACTCGAAGACTTTTTACATAACATACATTTTATTTCACAATCTGAGAAAAATACAACAAATACGGTCCTGGTCAAGAAAAAGAACATTACGTTAGAGCAAGTATCACTACTGTTATTTTTATTGAATTATAACTGTTATTGCGGAACAAATATCATAATAAATGCAGATATTATTGAAAATTAGGCGGTAATCATTGAAATCATGCCGCCATAATCCATCGTTGTTGACTCGTGACGTTATAAACTTCTCCGTATCAAATTTTATAGACAAAAAACTTTATTAATTTATCACGTAGAAATATGTTGACAATGTGACATCATAGTTTTATTTTTTTTTTCATAATAACGTCTTCGTTATTCAATTTTTGTCATGTTGACGTCAAACCTGTTCAACCTCCCGCAGGTTTTGGCAAAGCAACACGTTCAACTTGTTCGTCTTCGTAACGTTGGCAACCTTTGGGGCAGATTAGGTTTTGCATTTGATTGACAACTCCAGGGGGTGGGTTAAGGGGTTTCGAGGCAGATTTATGATCCTGGCTGGATAACTTGCGATTGTTTTCAATTGTGCGGTATTCGCGGTGCCTCCTCGTGTCTTAAGGCTAAACACTTGGATCTGAAAATGAGAAAAAATATAAAAAAAACTTAACGATGGGCTCAATATATACAAAACCTCATTGGTAGGGAAGAACATGAGCAGTTCATACTCTGGCGCACAAACTGATTTGAAGCATCTTACGATGCCAAAGATAGAATTTTCAGGCGCTCCAGAGGTGTGTGTACCAATATGGAGGTGACTAATTTTGCTCGCCTACTTTGAATAGAGGGTAGGGCGTAATTTTCCACACTAGCAATGGTGAGTCCAACAATAATATGGCATATAATTATTTCTCAAGGAATTTGAATTCGTACAGAGTACTTCTTTTCTAAGTAATTTTTTCGCCTACTTTACATCAAGTTCTGTAAAGAGACTGAAACATATGGGCAGGGAGTATATTTTCGTGGCTAACACAGACAGTCCCTGAACTTATAATAGAACTAGAATAAGGAAATTGCTAATAAAATTATGCCCTAACCTGGTCCACATACTACGGGAGTAAGTACCCAAACTTTTCAATTCATTAACGTTCAATTCAATTCGATTCGATAACGTAACGTAATCTAATGGCGATCCTTTCTCGCCTGGTCGAAAGTGCAGAGCAGAAATTGGATTAGTCAAACAGTTTATGGATTTGAATAGCGAATGGGGCCGTAAACGTCAACACTAGCGATGGCGAGTCCAGTAATAACATGGCATACAATTTTACCAACGCATCCGAATCAGCGCAGGGAACTTATTTTTCCAAAGAGCACCTTTTGAGTCAAACTCACCTTGACCCCAGAGGCTTTCAACGCTTTGGCAGGTTTGATGACGTCATCGGCAAATCTCGAATCTGAAACAAGAACAGCGACATCTTGTGCTCAAGGTCTGTTGTTTGGTGACTTGAACGATTTTGTACCGAGATGATTCAAGTCGGCTTCAGTGTTAGCTCCTAGAAAACAATATTATTCGTTAGTTTTTCGAAAATTTGATAAAATTATCTAGTAAGTAAGTTATATTTATTCACCACCATGTAAAAATTAAGAACTCGCTAACAGACAAAAGAAAAACATTTACAGTTGAAGGGAGTTACAGAAAACCTCAAGATCATCAAGCTGTGACACCCTATAAAGTATTACTGTTATTAATAGATTAACAATAAACAATAAAAAAACTACATTAGGCAATTGTTTATAGGGCGCATTGTTTTTAAATTTCAAATGTTACAAGGCTGTTTTTTGAATTGAGCACAACTATTTACAAAATTTATTATTATAAGAGGGAAATGGTTATTTGGGATTTGGGCGAATATTTTTCTTTTGTTTTTTTCTTTCCTTTTTCTTTTTCCAGCATGACAGGTACAAGCACGGATGCTACATTGGCCACAAGGATAGCCAAAACCGAGCATCTCCAGAGTTGAATATATTTCTAAATTATGTGTGTGAAAGCTACAGTGACCGTACAAGCTGAATATTTTTCAGATCTGAATACATTAAAAAATTGGGCAAACTACGTCCCGCTAGCCACATCCGTCCCGTTGGGGAATTCAATCTAGCCCGCCGGATGCTTCCTAAACCATTTTTTTTAATGTTCCAACTAAAAAAATAAATAGCTTAAGGAATATGAAGAGATTACAATTCATTTTAGTTTTGGCACGGGGCATATTATTTTCCACTTTTGCTTTTGTAACACTGTAAATAATGTTCATAAAATGTTACTTTTCATTTCCCACTTCCCACCAATGGCCCGTGGTCCAAAACCCTTGCCCAACACTGTTCTAAAATAATATTTCGATATCCATTACATTCTGACTTGAATTAAGTTTAACAAAGACTGCATCTGGTCAGTGAGTTTAAATTGAACGAGAATTTGAAATGAATCGATGTCTAGAATCTAGATAATCACAAATTTGTCCGATTATGAATATTTTTGAAGTTTTTAAAACTCAATTCGAGGAATACCAGCTCATAAATATTTTTTGGAAAGAAAAATTCTCTGTAATCAGAAATTCGAAAAGCCGAATAAATTTGAATTCGATCGAAATATTTGATTGGTTCGTTATGAAGAAGATATCTGGGTGACTCCTCACCATCAGACATTGGTCGTCACGAGACTTGATATGTGCTCATGGTCATGCCTCTACTCCTGTCGAGACTTGATATTCTAATATTATTTGAATCCTAAGATATTGGACATTAAATGGACCTATAGAACGTTTTAATATTATGTTGTTTTTAGTATTTTTTGTCCATGGTCTCGTTCATGTTCTTGTTGTTATATAAAATCGTTTTTTAAAAGTTTCTCTTTCTCCCTAACTACTGGACTAATTGCTTTGGATGTCCAGTAGTTAAAGAATGTTGTTGTTGTCGATGAAAGGCCGTTTCACACTTTCCTTTATTCATAAATGTTCTATGAGATCTGATATTCCATCCAACATTTTGCTATATTTTTTTAATCATGGGAACACGGTTTTCTTGCGACACGAGTATCGTAAGTTCATGATTTAATTATACAGTTGTGAATCGAATCATTTATCATTCTAATTCACGTTGACAAGGCTAGGGCAGCTCTAGTACATAGTAAGTTAGGATGTCTGTCTGTCTCTGTCTGTCTCTGTCTGTCTCTGTCTGTCTCTGTCTGTCTCTGTCTGTCTCTGTCTGTCTCTGTCTGTCTCTGTCTGTCTCTGTCTGTCTCTGTCTGTCTCTGTCTGTCTCTGTCTGTCTCTGTCTGTCTCTGTCTGTCTCTGTCTGTCTCTGTCTGTCTCTGTCTGTCTCTGTCTGTCTCTGTCTGTCTCTGTCTGTCTCTGTCTGTCTCTGTCTGTCTCTGTCTGTCTCTGTCTGTCTCTGTCTGTCTCTGTCTGTCTCTGTCTGTCTCTGTCTGTCTCTGTCTGTCTCCGTCTCCGTCTGTCTCCGTCTGTCTCTGTCTCCGTCTGTCTCCGTCTGTCTCCGCCTGTCTCTCCGCCTGTCTCTCCGCCTGTCTCTCCGCCTGTCTCTCCGCCTGTCCCCGTCTCGCCCCGTCTCGCCCCGTCTCTCCCCGTCTCTCCCCGTCTCTCCCCGCCAGTCTCCGCCAGTCTCCGCCAGTCTCCGCCAGTCTCCGCCAGCCTCCGCCTCTGCCTCCGCCTCTGCCTCCGCCTCCGCCTCCGCCTCCGCCTCCGCCTCCGCCTCCGCCTCCGTCTCCGCCTCCGTCTCCGCCTGTCTCCGCCTGTCTCCGTCTGTCTCCGTCTGTCTCCGTCTGTCTCCGTCTGTCTCCGTCTGTCTCCGTCTGTCTCCGCCTAAATTATGGAACTAAATTATGTTCTGTTTTCAGGCGGAGGATTTGGTTTAGTTACATCTATCATCGTTATGGGGTTGTACATTTGAAATAAACGTCATTCATAAAGTGGTCGCCTCTTTACAGACACACGATGGTAAGTGAAAATTTGCGCAAGGATATATCAGGGTGGCCCAAAATAGGGTATACAATTATTTTATTTATTTTTTATTACCTTCCATGTTACCTGTCATGTTCTGTTTTAGACGAAGGATTTGATTGGGTGACATCCATCATCCTTATCCTATGGGAATGTGAAATTGAAATAACCTTATTCATAAAGTGGCACACTTCTCTACGGACACACGATGGTAAGAAAAAATTGCTGCTTAGACTTGCCTGGTGAAGTGTAGTACTAGAAGTACTTTCAGTGGGTGAAGCCTAACAATTTTTTGCTTGTGTCTTTTTCCTGCTGTGAGTGAACTACGTCAGCGGTTTCCAAACTTTTGTGTTCGTGCCGGCGCCAAATTAAAACTCACGGCGCCCCTACACGAAATAAAATTGCTGCCTTCTAAATTTTTTCATAACGACGACGTCTTCAGTAACATCGGGGCCGGTACCAATCAAAAAGTCTGTGTTAATGTGTACTTTATGCCTTAAAATTCGAAAACATGTGTCACTACGTCATTCAACATGATGTTACAAATGTGAAAAATAATCACGCCCACCTATGTTTTTTTTGTTACTGCTCTGCTCCAGACAGCCTATCGTTTTTATTATACCTTTGCGATCTCTATTGTGTCGCGGGTGGGGTAATTTCTAGATTATGTAATGCAGTGGGGTTTAAAATGACGCATGATATAATTGTTACATCACAGAAGTACTATTACTATATACAAAGCCAGACCAGAGGTCAGCAAAACGTTTGTAAACTTAAACTAATGTTCCAATTTTTAGAGAGTATGGAAGAACTACACAGCCAGTGTGTACCAAATTGAGCATCGTAAGAGCGTACGGTCAAAGTGTTTATGAACTCACAGACTTACGCAAAGACGAATGATACCTGCGGTAATTCAAAACTGACGAAGGTAACAAAGAAATAATCTACGTGTGACGTTGATTTAAGTTGTTATACATAAAGCCAGGCCCAAGGTTAGCAAAAAAAACGCTTGTTTAACATATATCTACTTGTTTTAATTTTCAGAGACAATGGAAGAACTACCGTGCGGTCGAAGTGTTTATGAACACCAAGAAGACTACAGCCTGTTTTTTAGGACTGAGGAAGGTAACATAGCAATAATCTTATCTGTGATATTTTGTCTAAATTGTAACAACGGTCGTTATGTTTATTTCTAATCATCTCTCCAACAACTCAAGGTTCTTAATAAAGAATATATGGGGTGTCCATAAAGTCAAATTGCAAAGTAAAATTTACCATATGTTGTTTTTGGCTCTCACAGATGTATTAAATGAAGTAGAAACCATTACTGATTAAAAAACAACAAACCTGGTTAAGATATATTGAAAACTTGACTTCATAACAAATTTGAAACTGTATATGGGGACTTTATGGATTTGTATATACAGTGTGCAGCACACGCAGATGCAAGCTAAGAAATAGAGTTTAAATCGAATAGATCTGCATTAATTTGAGAATATGGGGTTAATAACTTTGCCCGCAATTATATGCCTGGAACGTTTTGTCACACCGGTAGTAAATTTTCATACTTGTATTTGTACATTTTCTCACAGAGCAAAAACCTCCTCTAAACATGGACTAAATTATCATGATAGCAATTTAAATATATTATTTCTTTTTCAGATTATCTCAAAAGACACCCCATGTCGCTTTCAATCTTAACATGGTTCATTCATTATACAACATTGAACGTCCCAATATCTGCTGAGAAATGAAACTTTATTGTCGTGGGTGCCACATCACATGTTCATCGGTGTTCTCATTTAAGGGTCAACAGTGTTCCCATTGACAAATCAACAGTGTTCCCCTTGACGGATCGACAGTGTTCCCATTGACGGATCGACAGTGTTCCCCTTGACGGATCGACAGTGTTCCCCAAGTGACGGATCGACAGTGTTCCCCAAGTGACGGATCGACAGTGTTCCCCAAGTGACGGATCGACAGCGTTCCCCAAGTGACGGATCGACAGCGTTCCCCAAGTGACGGATCGACAGCGTTCCCTTTGATGAAATACGTGGACATATTATTGTGCTATAATGATTATAATGCAATACAGACGGATACGGACAATACGGACCAGTCGTTGAAATCCAATCTGTGAGAGGGCACTGGACTCGCTATGTTTGCATTGCGGGTTCCTGCCCACTGACGTATCTGTTGTGAAACAGTTTGGGTTGGCAATGCCGAACCGGGAACGTTAGGTCCTTACAAAAACATAGCAGCTCTCATACCAGGGGCCGCTTCCGCAGTGCCTTGTTTTAAGTTAAAGACATATAGTAAACGCTGTATGGAAAAACAACCTCGTGCATTTGCATACCACCAGTAACAACTAGCTAGACAATGTCCAACCGGGCTGATCAAGGTCCTTTATACTCTATTTTGTAGGGGCTACGGGTGATTTCGTTCAATTTTTACTATGTTTTCAAATCGTTTTATTACAAACGCTCATATATTCATTATTGTATGGCCGTGTTTATTGTTGGTGAAATAATTGCTTTTCTCTTTTATATATTCGAGCAATTGCTTTATATTTTTCCCTCTTTTTGTCAAATGGGTTTTTTTTCGTGTCAAACTCAAATTAATCTGATTCAGGGAACAATTAAGCCATAACCATTGAGTGTGTTTTCAGCTACTTATAAATATTATTTTGCTTTCATTGTTCTATAAATTTATTGCTGTGGGGTTGGGGTGGGCTCTTTACACAGAGCTGAATGTTTTCAAATTAAGGATTCATTATTCTTTATTTGTGATGTTCAGCTTTGCGTATGATTTACACAGCATTTCCCATTTTTTTCTGTGGATAAATGTTTTAACAAATTGTGTGTATATATGCGATGTTGGACATCCTTACAAGCGAACAGGGCCAGACTTAAACCAACGCGAGCCAGATAAGTGAATTCCTGACACCCCAATAAGGGGTAAACACCCTCTCCGATAGTTACGAACACTGTTGAATCATGTTACTCGATGGCCGTGTTTTTCGTTATTGAAAATAATTTTTTTTTTGTATATTTTAAGCAATTGTAATATATTTTACCCTTTTTTCAAATTTTCCAGCTGATGGATCCTTCGGGGTTAAACCCAATTATTTGACGATTCTCTTAGTGTTAAACTCAAATTATTTGATTCTGGGAAAAGCCACGGCTTCCTTGTAAAAGTATTTTGTATACCTTGTTTTATAATTTTTGCATTTTTTTTTACCAATGAAATTGCTGTTGGGTTGGGGTGGGCTCTTTACGCAGAACTGATGGTTGTTAGCCTATTTCAGCTCAAACCAGACACTCTCTCTTGTATTTAGATTTTTAAAAGGTTTACAATCAGCAATTTTACACATTTTAAGCCACAGATGTGTTGTTTACGCGTTACTAAGTTGATTTTGCGTTGATTGGTCGGTCGGTCCGAACATTCTAGAAACCTGCATTGGGTAATTATCAGGCTAATCAGCGCTGAGTCCGTGTCGATTTGGGTGGCGTCACTCTGTCAGCAGTGCGTGCGTTGTCAACAGATTTTTGATCGCAAAAGTGTGCATGTTTACTTATGACAATTTTGAGGCGGGTGTATGAATGTAAATAGCACGCTTTGAATACAGTCAAACTTTGTAAAGATAATATCAGCTTTTTCATAGCAATACGTATTATAATACCTTACTTCAGTGGTTAGGCTTGAAAACTCTGCTTTGACGCATGATTGAAACGACTTGTGAAGACAAAACAAACTTCGTTAGTGGCAGTGTAGACTGACTCACATCACTACGGCAACAGAGCTGGATTTAGACAATGGCATACATTCTTTTATGACGCCCCTCTCTGGCACCATACAATAAAACACAAGTTCATTTTAACAATCAATAAAAAATCGTACACAATTAGAAAATGATATTTACAGTTTTGCTGGGGAAAGGAAACCGCGGGTAACCAATTCTGGTTATTGAGCAGCGAGATCAAAGACTTGATCATGTTTTTCGGATAGTTTTTTTGTGCATTTAGGTTTCTTATCCGATTGATATATTTTATAATCGGATATGCTTAAGCGTTAAGCTTCGGTTCCAGTGGTATTTAGAACATATGCAATCCACACTTTTTGGGAACTTTTGCGTAGACTTTAACTTGTCGTCAAGATATAAACAGCACTCAATTTCTGTAAATTTGTAAATGCTACAGAATTTGCAAGATGGCCAAGTAGTCTGCATCAATATACCTTGCGTCTCGATTTTGTATGTACTCCCGCACCCGCTTTTTTTCCTCGGGGAATCAACATTCACGCCGTCGCGTGCGAGATCACCTGATGTGCGACGTCACGAGTCGTTGTCGGCGCGAAAAAGTTCTGTTACCGATCACCAACTTAGTTAGTTTTATCCTCTGCACTAGCGATAAGTCGGTATTGTGCGGTGATTTATGAACTATCTTATTTGTTGTTTCAGATTTAATAAATATATGTGTACTGTATATAAAATTTCATAAAGTTCTGTGTATTCGAAGAGATAACATAGCTACAAGAACACTGAAGACTCCGAATAACTAAAATGGTTAGTAGTGTAACTGTAGTAGTATATTGTGTTTATTGCTAATTACCATTGGCTGACATGAAAGTAAGCGTTTAGGCTTGCTTTCTATGCCACCGCATATACCCTGCGGACTTTTATGGGGGTAGAGCTGCAGGACTTAAATTCGCAGAACACTTACGTCCCAGCTTTTTTTTTATGTTTACGGCTCTGGTTGATTCGGGGGTAAACCGTGCCGGTAACCTGCTGGATATGCAGTAATCCACTCATTCGCAGAATAATTTATGTAACGGTGCAGTTTACGGCCCTCCTTACTGAGCCCTTCCTAAAAAGTTTAAAAATTCCAACACCCCACCTAGACTGGTTGGCGATGGCTGTTTTTTGGATCACGATTGACTCATATTATTCTCCTTTTCTTAAGATGGATATAGAAATTTAATTATTTTTCAAAAATAGCCAATAAAAGTTATATAGTTCAATTAATGAGCAAATACAAAATATGTAATTCCCGGCAAAAAATATTTTAACAGGAAGTTACTTGAAAATCTTAAGCACTTACATTTAGTAATCACTTCAGTATCGTAAGCATAATAACGTTTGTCATTATCTGATGAATAATAATTTATTAATAATACTTTCAACATTTCACAGAAAGCGTGAAAGATCTCGAAACGAACAAACGAAAAGCCTCGAGACCGTGAATTTGCCATCTTCGTCTCGATATCATCTCTGCCTTTGGATGCATTATAAAATATTTTGCTCAAGAAGACCTTGGCATCGTCTTGAAACAGGTAATCTTTTTGAGAAAACGTTAATGCTAATTTTTCAGTTCATTTTGTTTTGAGCCTTTTTTAATTACGCAAACTATTTCTTTCCATTTTGCAAGATATTTTTTTGTACGAAGTTTACAATTCCTCAGTACAAAAATTGGAGGCGATTCTGGAAAGAACCCATCGGCTAGTTACTGACGCACAATTGCAAATTCTGTCGTATATTATATTACCAACAATAGATCAGGGCAGACCACAGAACAGTAAAGTTTGTAATCGTGCTTCAGTTACTTAGCATTGACCCTGTTACGCCCTCCGTCAAGCTAGATAAAGATAGCTCTTCGTCTCGAGTGAAAAGTGTTACGTCCATCCTACATAATTTTCCATTTTTATTTACAGACGAAGAAAATCGCGTTAAATTCTAACGCACAAAACGGGCGACGGCATCAACCCGTATTTGGAGAATGCTCGAAAAATATCAATTTGATGTATTAACTTCTTATCAACGTAAAATCGACGTAAAAATTGAACGTCCAAAAGGACAGCCGACGACACCAACCAGCTAAGGTAAGAGAACAATACTTAACATTTAAAAAATACTCGAAAAATTCTCATTGGTGTGTTATAGTCTCAAACTGTTTTTCAATAAATTATTGGGTGCTTTTAAGCTTGTACCCAGAACAAGGCTTCATCAGTGAAGCAGTCAATTAAATTGGATAAATAGTCACTATAAAGTTTCAATGACCAGTTCTAGGCATGACCCCATTTCTATATACCTCTTGGTACCTGACTTTGGTAATTCATGGAACATCGTTAATATATCCGAGTGTCATAACTAGTGTTCATATTCATTTTTTATATATCAGATTGTCACAATTAAGTGTTCATGTTCATTTTTAGATCTTCTTTACGTGGCCCGCCCGAGACTTGCATTCCAATACTTATGAGAACAGAACTATCGGCAATTTCGAGAATGTGCTACGTAATAACGTTATTCTTGGATGAAAACTCGTCTGACGTCAAGGATTCACAAAAAAGCAAGATTAATTATTAATGGCGGAATGGGACAATTACGGGTTGAGAATAATCATCGAAAATGCCTCTAGAGAAGCATTGTTTAGTGAAGCAGAGGCTGTTCGAATGGCCGATCTCTCGAAAGACATCGGAATGAACAAATTACAAACAATCGCTCATCCCAAACGGCCTCTGCCGTGGGAAAGATTTGTTTATTTTTACATGAACTATGTAAATCGGCATTACGGAAAACACCTGACACTACGCCCACATCGCCATCTTGGGATGTTTTTTTTTAAATAAATGACGTTGTGTAGGACAAAACTCAGCAAGCAACTAACAGATCATCGCTTCCGAACACAACTTCGAGTTGCCAAAAAATTACACAATTTTGAACATCAAGAATTACAAATGATCTATCCTTCAGCATCTCGCACTGCTATGAGAAGATATTTCATGAAAAATGACGTTGAGCAGAAGAAAATTCAGCTAACAGCTGATCGCTTGCAATCTGAACTTGTGATTTGATGAAAAATTGCTCAGCTCTTGAACACTAAGAATAATAAAACCCTCTAATTCGGCATCACGTACTGCGGCGAGCCGTAAAAAAAACGCTTTGCAGAACAAAATTCAGATAACAGATCAACATTTGCAAACACGAGTTGCCGTAAATTACAACTCTTGAACATTAAGAATGATGGTGATCTTTCCTTCGTGATCACGTACTGCTCTTAGCAGCTTGAACAAATAACGCTGTGCAGAAGAAAATTCAGCATCAGATAATCACTTGCAAACTCAACTTAGAGTTGCCAACAGATAACTCATGAACTTTAAAGACTGACAGTCATCTCTCCTTCGTGATCACGTACTGCTCTTAGCAGCTTGAACAAATAACGCTGTGCAGAAGAAAATTCAGCATCAGATAATCACTTGCAAACTCAACTTAGAGTTGCCAACAGATAACTCATGAACTTTAAAGACTGACCGTCATCTCTCCTTAGTGATCACGTACTGCTCTTAGCAGCTTGAACAAATAACGCTGTGCAGAATATTACAAAATCAACTACAAGTTGATAAAAACTTTCAATGACTGTAGGCCCGCCCAAGAATCTCCATTCGTTTACGTTAGACAGTTACGTTAGACAGTTAGAGACCCTGATCTTTTTGTACGCACACTTTATGTAGAATCAGGGCCATCGGGCGAAGAGAGAAGTGCGATGCGAGCGAAGATGTGAAGATTGGACGCTTCGCTAGAGGATCCTCACTTGTATGGTACTAGAAATCTTTTTTCGTCTGTCGGTTCATTAGTTAGACAGCAAGGAATGACTAGATATAGGGTTCGACAGACAAATCTAGTCAGGGATTTAATGCTGGAGAATGTCACTTTTCTTCAGGCATTCTTGATAGAATGCATTCTGGCATGCAATGAAAATCTTTGCAATGAGTGGATTATTCTATGCTAATAATAATAGCACCGATAATAGCTCTTCATGGGAGTTTTATAATACGTGGATACGTTTAATACTTGTGGGCGTTTATCGCCAGTTTGATATATTGATCCACTATATATGGCCTTGGACGAATTGTCACAATTTGTCGATGCCAGTCTTGAATACTAATTGAGATAGGGAAATAACCATTTTTTTCTTTTAAAGGGAAATAATCATTTTTTTTTTCAAATAATAATGCCGAAACCTTTCTATGATTTATCAGTTTTGAGAAAGAAAAAATGCTCCGTGAATTTGACTGACCAAATTGCTAAAAGAAAGGTTTCGGTTAGGCTTAAATACTGCACTGTGAATTATATTTTTAGTTAGATAGGGTCTTAGGTTTTTAATATTATTATCACTAAGGGAATAAGCTCTAAGTCTCCTTAATTGAATCGGCCATCACTTATTCACAAAATGAGGAAGCAGAGCTTCTTGTATTCATTCACTCTTATTTGGTCGAGACTTGGAGCTTTTTCCCACCATGCATGCTAGGCTATAGCACAGACGCCCCTCAAATTGAGGGCCAGAAGCAGACGAAAGACTTCGGAAGGTACATTAGATCCTCTGGTGCAATAACGGCGATACTTTCAGATTCTGTATATTTTAACTGAATTAAATAGGTTTGAAATGCTATTTCAAACTCATTCGTTCGGTTGCATTGAAATTTTGATTCAATATGAGGTCTTTAGTCGTTATTGCACTTAGAGGCCAAGTCTTGGTTTATTATTGACTATGGATTCTGTCCATTGAAGCCAAGAGTCAATGTTGCCAAGCCCGGTAGCACTAAGCTACTGGTAAGGTAGATAGACTAGGAAAATCGTAGTTGATGACTTTGCGTTGAGCGTACGAGAGTTATATAATTTTCACTTACGACTTCGACAATATTTGCAAACTTTAGAGTTTAGACCAATTGTGCCCCAAAGCAAAGTCGTCTGCTATGCATTGTAGAAGTTGCCTTAGGTTTTCGGCAACTTAGGGTTTTGTAGGCCGGTCAGCTTTCAGCTTTATTGAGTTTAGGACGGCATTTATAAACGGACTCAAGACTGCAATATTTGAGTCGCTGTTGTAAATGTAGGGGGAGCAAACGTCCGCGCTGCGACCTAGATAGCCTAAACCCACGGGTGCTTGCACCATTTAGTAAGATTGTGTCCGCGCAGAATTCGATACAGATTTGGTTAGTAAAAGCTGACCTTAGGCAGGTTAGAATATTGTAGGGAGCGTTCCGAGTTTTGCAATTTTAAACCAGTTCGGCGCTAACTAGACTTCGTAAAACTTGGGGCAAATTTCGTATCGCTGGGATGTTCAGGCGGGTGGTTGGGACTGTTGAATAGTTAGTTTTTTTAGTTAGGGATAGATAGGGTTAAGGGTGAAAGGTCATTATCACTCGCACTGTTGTCCTCTCTTGTGACTTCAAGTTGGGTTTGATAATTTACTTTTTCACGGTGATAGGAATGTGTAGGGAGAACATCAACAATCGTGTAACGGTTCTCAGATATCTTGTCTGGGAATTGAAACTCTTTTTCTTCCTATTGACTTTAAGGCCTCAGATTTACTGTTGTACATATTTTGTTTGTGTACTATGATTTTGCTTTGTGGCGAAACCATATTTATATTTTATAATGTCGTGCAGTCAAGTGCAAGGCATTTGTGTTTTTTATGGTTATTTGCCTTTCGGCAAAAATCATAATCCTGTACCACGATGTCGTGCAAATATGCTGCAAGGCATTCATACATGTTTATGTACCACAATGTCGCGCAAATCCAATGCGAGACATTCGTACATTTTTTTGTTTCCCCATGCTTATTCACACACCATATTGTCGTGCAGTCAAATGCAAGACATTATCATGTAGTGCCGTGCAAAATATTGTACGGCATTACCTATTTGCTACATTTTTTCGTCTTCGGTTTTTTACACAATTTTTTCTAGAGTTGTATTTGTTACTCTTTTTGCTTTTGTAAAATCCCACATTTAATGAACTAACACTGTTCTCATATTTTCAGATATCAACCAAAGAAGATGGATATTAGTTATTTTCAATGGTATTTGCGAAACATGGACACATTTCGGCCAATTCTCAGAAATAATACACCTACATGTAGTGCGTGTAAATTATTGTACGGCATTGCTTATTTGCTACATCTTTGTTAATTACATATCTCTCATATTTGTGCTACTAACCTCTTCATTTTGTTGCAATGTACTTTTGTTTAAATTGTCATTTCTTATACTAAAACTGTTCTCATATTTTCAGATATCAACCAAAGGAGATGGATATTATATATTTTCTAATCGATGATTTTTGATAAAATATCAACTCAATTCGGCAAATTAATACCCTCCCCCTACTACCCAGTCCATTTAAATAATTAATACCAATTTATTTGCAGTTGGTTTCATATTTTTTTCCTAATTATTATTCCAATTCGGCTAATTTATATATAAACTCAACAATTTTTTCTTAATCTAAAGTCAAATTTTTACAGATCCACTTCAAATCGTCCAATGTTTGTCGAACAAAAGAATAACAACACAAATAATTGTTATTTCCTAGTTTGGAGTTCCTTTTAAACTGGACCTAATTATTTGATTCGGAGGAAATTAAACTATATTCCCTCATCCCAGTATTAAATTTGATTAAATTGCAACCGGCGCATTGAAGCCGGTCGTTGCTTTAAATCAAAATCCCATCAAAACGAGTTTTGACATATTGTATGGGATTTGGCATATTGTATTAAGAGTTTCATTTTGCCACTAATACGGTAAGAGCTACCTTCAAAACCTTAAAAGTATTATCTACGATTCCATTAGTTTTCAATTTTGGTGTATAATCAATTAGTACCCAAGATCTACATGTAACTAAAATTTATATGTAGATTTGTTTTCCCAAATAAAATGAAAATAATTGTCCTTCTTACCCTCCTAAATCTGGCCTCAACCGAGCCATTTTGCATAGTTATTTTCTGTTTAAAAAAAATTTAAATGACCGTAAGCCATTACCAAAAACTCCACTAATGCTATTGAGCTACGTATAAAGATTCAGTTGTATTGTAGTTGGAGGTGGGAATTGCAGTGTAATGAGAAGGTAATCGAACAGTCAGATGGTCAAGTTGCAGATTTTAAGAAGTTGTGTGTTCACAAGAGTTTTTTTTAGAAGTGGGTTAATGACAGTACGTAGTTTATATTTACGCTCTACCCGAAATAGCTTAGCACTGCATAACATATGTAACTTTAGCACCGATTAAAGTTAAGGGTAAAGGGTTAAATAAAATTCTGTTATCTATCAGCGACACCCGTGATAAAGCCTAACATTAATACAGGAAAGTGAGGATAGCATCTAGCGACCCGAAAAGGTGAAAGTGGTGATCGGTAATCATTGAGCGAACTGCAAGCAGGGAGTCAAATTTGAAACGGAGAATATTTGTCTGTGTTTATGCTGTATCTGTTGCTAGTGCTCTCCATAGCATTGACACTGCATAAGCTTTTTGTTGATTGTGTAACATATAGAAGCAAACATTGCTAGAAATGTAGAAGCAAACATTGCTAGAAATGAGAACTTATTCTAACACAAAAAAAAATAAAAAAGTCGCAAGTTTCAACAAGTATTATAGCAAATAAGAACATTAATATAAAGTGGGTGGTGGGCTGGCAGTCAATTTCAAAGGCCGGAATATTGCGGCAATATTAAACCAGTCTAAACATATCTGGGGTCCTAATGTAGACCACATTTGAAGGCCAAAATTTGAAGGTAAAATGAAAACAAAAATGGACAGCTGTAATCTGACTTAACTTCAATTTTGAAACTTTATTATTTGTTGTTTGTGTTTGAGCTTTATTTAAAAGGCAATTTCAATTTCACTTTTTTGTATACAATGGGGAGTCCGTCGAGTCAATTTCAGTTAATCGATGAATTTTCTTGGCGAATGGATTCAAAGTTGTATTTGGTTGATTATATATTGCCCTGTTCAGATATGAAACACGTTTGCTGCCAATAGATGAACTAGAATTTGATACGAAAGACTAAATCTAAATGAACATGCGGGCAATGTCCGAAGAAAATTTTTTGTACGAGGCCGATGTTATACTAATTTATTATACTACTATAACGCTATTGTTATAGTGAAGGAAGTAAAGCCATTATTCCTTGGTTAGGTGGTTTAGCAGAAGCTTTGTGTAGCGGATTAGTATCACCCCATAGGCAGTTAAGATTCGGAAAAACATTAGTCTCCACTTTGGAAGATAGGTTTGTGCTGTGATGCGGTTTCGTTGCTTATAAAAATGTTTTGAATTGTCAAATGAAGCATCTACATTTCAAGGTCGGCTATGCGGGACAATCGTGGTGATATCCAATCCTTAGAACACGAATATTTTTTTCAGTTGCGTGAAGTTAATTCGTTGTGTTTGGTAAATGGTTCAGTGTTCCCCTTCTCACCAGTGTTTCATTTAGTGAAATAGTTCGGTCGGTATATACGGAAAACATGAGGACTACAATTCTGGAGAAAATAAAGACCGAGGTACCTGGCGTGGAGAGGTCGAAATCGGACAGTCGCTAGGAAATTTCGGGATACAACACAAAGGTAGAGATGTGCGAGAAAATCTACTGTACGATGACGATGGACTGAAGCTTGCTTAGTCTCTGAAAAAGGTCTTTTATACTTCATCCTTTCATTGATTAAGATAAGCAGGAAACATAGCAATTAATATGTAAGCAAGAAGTTTAGCAAATCACGTTAGCAGAAAACATATCAATTAATATGTAAGCAAGAAGTTTAGCAAATCACGTTAGCGATAGCAGCAGCTCATCAGCGTCCATGAAGCATTTAAAGTTAGAGAGGATCTGGTGATCCATTTTCAAGAACACAAATCTCTTTACACTTACATGAAGAATAACTGAATTTCATCAAAGAAACTGATTTTCGTGTTTTCATTTTGTTTCATTAGTTGGAAGTAGTTATCTGGACTGGCAGATTGAAATGACTGTATGGTAAGAAGCGAAAAAATGGAAAGTTCCAGACGTAGACGACACAAAGCATATATTTATAGTCAAATTAATGGTACCAGCTGTTATTTTGTTCAAGGTTCAGATTTGAGGAGAAGAAGCTTATTACATTTTTAAGGGTTCGATGCAGGCCCGAACGCAATTCAACATCATCTTCGAAAATTCAACGGTCCTGGAATCCCGGTTGAAGTGAATCTTTTATAGACGCTGTCACATCTTCTGCAAAGAAAAGTTTTAACCTTTTCGGTTCAGCAGATTGTTTTCAACGAATACTCAAAAATGAGTCTACTTATTTGGATGAGCTGTGTGCAAATGGAAGCTGGTTTCTCGTCTAGGCAAGACCACAAAATGGCAAAGTGGGGTTTTATGATCCCCGGTAATACGATATCGAAGGATTCGTAATCTCTATTTCGCTCGTGCAATTTGTTTTAAAGGCTCGCAACTTTCATTAGTGATTCATCCAATGCCCGAATTATTGGTTTGTCAAGCACGAAGACTTAGTGCATTGAATCGGTGTAATGAACTTTTTATTCCAATTTGTGTTAAAATTGGAATAAAACATGCAATGCCAGATCATAGGATTGAAGACTTTTTCCAATGAACTAAATTTTACATATTCGAGATCACCGATAAATCTGACATTTCCAATGGCATAACTTTGGGCGAGTGGCTGAACGAGTCGATGTAGTTTTGGGTCTCAATACAACAACAACCGCAGTTGACAAAACCTACCCGAACGCCCGTTTTTGTCCATCATAAAGCCATTCCAAGAAGACTGGAATGCGATATTCAATAAGCAGGTAAAGAACCGCATACGAGCGCAAATAGATATCTAACATTTGTCGCTATACTAAAAATACAAAGTAAGTTTGCGAGATTCCCTCAACTCAAGGTAGGGATTTGTGTAAGATCTTCAGCCGTCACAAATACATCTACACCTAGACCTGTAATATATATATAGCTTTATCCTTGTTAACTGCCGGTGGTAAACAGTGTTTCGCTTTAAAAAAAGCTCAAAACGGAATCATTCAGTCAGTACCGTCTCTTTGTCTGCATGGGATTGATTTTTGTAACATTGGTCAATAGAGCGAGCCATTTTTCTTAATCAAGTACATTCAGTTCTAACTAATATTCTAAAGTTTTAATTAAACGTATGTTCAATCTCTACTTATTTTCACGAGTCTTTTTTACTCACGTGTGGCATTTCATTTCAGATTTGAAGTCCAAACGTTTCTACCATGTGATGCTCATGCGTAAAATCACCTTCAAAGAAAAGTGAAGCACTTAACAAGAAACGGATTGGTGTTAATGATTATAAATAAACTATGCATTCACCAAACATAATACTATAAACTGTTTTTAGAATTATTAGTTTAATACTGACCAGATTAGTGGTTACGCCATATTCCGTTTTTTAAGTGTTCTATTTTTCGATCTGTATTCGATGAAAGTATTAAAAAAATTTTTTTGATAATTAATAGCTTATTACTAAACAGATCAAACTAAATATGCAAACTGGCTGCCTTGAGCCCTAACGTGTTTAAGTTTTGTTATTGTATTAGTATCATCTTCAGTGCCCCCAGTGCCACGTGTCTATTAAACGTGGTAAAATAACGTATCTTTCAATTTTCTCAGGTTAGAGAACATCGGCGATTTGATTATTGTAAAAGGATTGTAACGTCATGCCACTATATGTACAGCGTTCTCGGTAGCCTGACTTGGATGCCCCTCAAATGACGATTTGGTCTATTTTATTAATCCCTTCAACCTAACTATCGATATAAATATAAGAATTTGTTTGCATACAATTACCAAGCTAATTGTGAGATTACTAGAACTGATTTTTCAGTGAATAACCGCCTGATTTATATATTTACTTTGTTTATCATGAATGAAATTAGCATTGTTAGATTCACAATCATAGGGAAAATTTGGATGAATGAATGCTTTGGTGTCCTAATATTAATGCAAAGTAATTTTGATGTCTTTTCATTTTCATAAGGTGCACCAGCAGAAAAGCCGAAGCGTTTTAAGCAAGGGTGCCATCGAAGAAAAATCAACCCAGCGTACTTGTAGAGAAGAGGTCGGAAAGTGCTGGCAAAAGCGGAGCGGAAATTGTACTTAGTTATTTAGATCTAAATGAGCGTGCACTTTTAATATTGCATGTTGATATTCTCACGAGTGTCTGATAATTGCATGCCTAGTGCCCCCAAATTGGGGGACTGAAGCGGACGAAAGAACTCTGAGTCAAACCATGCCAAGGTTCTAGAAGGAGGAGTCAAACCATGCCAAGGTTCTAGAAGGAGAAAAAGTAGTAGACTTGCATAGTTTCTTTTTAATTTGAGTGTTAGGTTGATGCATGCCTTTTGCCCTCCTAATTGGGGAGCGAAAGTTAAACGGAAGAAACTCGTTGTGTCAAGAAACCATGTGTGTGAACTTTTTATATTCTTTTGAATTGCGTTGTCTGGTAATTGCATGATATCTAGTAAACAGTTATGCATGTGCATGCTAGGTTAATCACCTGCGCGACAGATGAGAAGACTAAATGGGCCGCAGAAAGTCGAACGTGATCACTAACAACTCACTTTGGTATCTGATTGAGATCACGTTGAGTAAGTGAGATCGCTTACCAAAGTTGTTAAAAGAATAATACCCGGGAACACTTTTGTAGTTTTATGTGTTTGCCTTTATTTTATATGGTTTACTAAGAACTGGTAGAACAATTAAAGCACACTCAAAACTCTGTTTATATGTCACATTTAAACAATCTTGTTAATACTTAATGTTAAAATTAATTTTAATGTTATTAATTATTATTATTATTATTATTAATTATTATTAATTATTAATTATTTTTATTATTATTATTATTATTATTATTATTAATTATAAAATTAATTATTAATTAAAAATAATGTTAAAATTAATGTTAAAACTTAATACTTACAGCGAGGCGTTCTTCAAACCTGTTGGGGTTTAACTTGAACAAAACCATATAATTCTAAAGCAAATTAGTAACTTTACCAGCAGCTGGAGCGTTGGAAAAGCCTTGCTTGTGATGCCTACGGCCTACGATGCTAATGTTGAACCGAAATGCTATAAAAAGGAGGTATCTTGTTGATGACGGGTACGTGACTTAATTATGTGGAAAAATGAGAAGACTCACTGGCGTAAGAATTCATTTATTTATTTGTGAATTACCCGGAGTTCATGTAGGTGTTGTTCCTGTCATTTCGAGCTGTTTTGGGAACCAACGTTAAATGTTGATCAATATACAAACAGGCTGAACATATGGAGGACACCTATGTGCAACGTAAGTTTACAATTATCTTTATTTTTATTTAATATTTCATGGTTGTGTTCACTATTCTGTTTTTCAGCCCAATGATTTCAATGTCGGTTTATCCGACCCTGAACTCATCTGTAGTTTTTTCTATATTATAAGAATTGCTAAAACAATTTTAGTGTTCAAACCCGGCTTTAGTGTTAATTTTAATATTATACCATTTCAGACCTCAGCTTTATACTTAAACCATCTCGTTAATACTAAGTCCTCTTCAAACAGGTTCAAGGTTTGGTTGGAACGGAACCGCATTATTCTACATCCATGAGTAACTTTACTGGCAGCTGGGGCGTTTGAAAAGCTCGTTTGTGATGCCCACGATACTAAAGTTGAACGGAAATGCCATAAGTGGAAGTATCGTGATGACGGATGCGCGGTTTACTATGTGGAAGGTTAAGAAGACTCACTGGCGTAAGAATTCATTTATGTATTTGTGAATAACTTTGTTTATTAGCTTTGTCATTTCGTGCTGTTTTATGGAATCAACGTAAAATGTTGAAACAATATGAAAACTAGCTCAACATACGCGGGACAACTCTTGCACAACGTAAGTTTACAATAATCTTAACTTTATAATTAGGATCATACGCCTGTTTATGGCCGGGGTTTACGTTTTTCTTGCAATGTTTTCAATGTCACTTTGAGTTTAATCATTTTTTTTTCAGGTTTTTGTCTTTCAGGTTGGGGGGCTGACCCTTGTTTTTCTGACTATTGTCTTTTCGTGTTTCATGACCATACTGTTTTTTTTCGACCGTTGTCTTTCAGGTTTGTTGACCCCAATCTGGTTTTTCTTACGATTGGTTTCCAGCCTTGTTGACCATCCTGATTTTTGTGACCATTGTCTTTTAAGTTAAATTGTTTGTCTGGATGCGTTGACCATTATGTTTTTTCCATCCATTGTCTTTCATGTCGCGTTGACCATTTTTTTATTTTCTCTTGTGATTTTTCTGACCATTGTCGTTCAGGTTTGTTGATCATTTCGGTTTTATCGACCCTTGTATTCCCGGTTTTTACCATTATCTTTCTATTTTTTTCAACCCTTTTCAGGTTTTTTAACCATTCTGGTTTCATGTTTTTCAGGTTCGTTCATCATTCTTGTTTTCTATCCCTTGTATTTCAGGGTTGTTTTTAGCCATTTTTTCAGGTTGAGTTTACCATTTTTTTCAAACGTTTTGTTTGCTATTCGGATTTTTTTTGATCATTGCTTTTAAGGTTTCGTTGACCATTCTGTCTTTGGCCGTTGTCTCGTGTTGCGTTGGTCACTTTTTCTGGCCAGTGTCTTTCGTGTTGCGTTGTGTTGACATTTTTTTTTTTTTGTGACCATTGTATTTCAGGTTGCGATGAACATTTGACCATTATCTTTCGTGTTTATTCTGTTTTTATAATCATTGATTTTTTTTTTTTCTTCAGGTTTTTACCTAACAGTTATTTTATTAAACATTTCATTTTTTTCAGTAAAGTGTCATCAAATTTGCTGCGTTCATAGCTAGCGCTTCTATCTGAAATAATTTTTTTTTAAGTATTTTAATCTAGATAGAAGTCAACACACTTCCTTCTTTAAGCGGCATCTGATTAACTAGACGCATTGTGGATGATGAGACCTTGATAATATTGATGGTCGGTGAAATATTTGCAGAATAAAGTGGTTTCGTTTCAAGAAAAGACTTTTCCGGAGAAGGGTGATCAACTCGGTAACATGGAGAGGTGTAATATTATAATTTTATTTAATTAAAATATGTATTTTAGGTTTGTTGGCTATTCTAATTTTTTCCGACAATTGTCTTTCATGTTTACCATTCTGCTTTTACAGCCATTGTTTTTCAGGTTTTTACCAAACATTTATTTTTTCCAACATTCATAAAGGGTCGTTAATTTTGACAATATAGCTAGCATTACTTTCCATCTTTTGAAATCATTTTTCCAAACCTATTTTAATCTAGATAAAAGTCAATAATACTTTATTTTTTTACGGACACTTGGATAACTGGACGTATTATGGCTGATAAAACCGTGATAATATTGATATCGAAGAAATATTTGCAAAACAGCGATAAGACGAGATCTAATGAATACTATAGAACAGCTAAGATGCCTAAGATTCTAAATTGTTTTCGTTTCAAGAAAAGACTTTTCCGCAGAAGAGTGATCAACTCGGTGACATGGAGAGGTATGATAATTAAATTTGAAATGTTTAAATCGTAGTTCGCCAAGATATTGTCGATTTGATTTTTGCTTCAATTAGGTTGTGACCGACAATTTGTGAAATTTTGTTGGCAAACAGCTTAAAGTTAAACTCCATAACCTGGTGGTTTAAAATTACTAAATCATAACTATTTTATGTTCTGTTTTCAGACGGAGATTTGGTCGAGTGACATCAATCATTGTGAAATGTATAGTTGATGATTGATGAAATATTCGCAAATTAGCAATAAGACAATGGATGATTACTTATGAAACAGTGGAGAGTAAAACTTGGATGCCTGGGATTCTAAAGTGGTTTCGTTCAGAGAAAAGACTTATTAGCAGAAGAGTAAAATACGCGTTAATATAGAGAGGTAGGATAATATAATGCTAAACCCCGCTACAAGTACTTGTGGGACTGAACTACACTAGACCCGCGACATTCATGTGGAATTTAACCACTGGAAGTCTGTCAAGTCTGTACTGGAAGTCTGTATTTTTTAATTTGCAAATTAGCTACGAATTTGGCTGCAAATTAGGCTACAATTTTAAGAAAGTTTGTGCTGACTAACAGCATAAAGTAAAACTTCATCACTGCGTGGTTTAAAATTACACTATTCAGAACTAAATTATGTTCTGTTTTCAGGCGGAGGATTCGGTCGAGTTACATCTATCATCGTTGTGGGGATGTACATTTGAAATAAACGTCATTCATAAAGTGGTCGCCTCTCTACGGACACACGATGGTAAGTGAAAATTTGCGCAAGGTCTATATAAAATAAATATACAGGGTGGCCCAAAAGTAGGTATACAGTTATTTTATTTATTTTTCATTACCTTCCAAGCAGCTAGAAAACTAATGTAAAATTCACACTAGATTTATTATCTAAAAAATAAGCAATTTTTGTGGTAATTAACAAGTAACATAAAGTGAACTGCAAGTAGCTTCAAAGCATATAAAATAGTTCTATAACTGTATACCTACTTTTGGGCCACCCTGTATACAGTCACACCAAACTAAGATGCAAGCCAAGAAAAGTTGAAATCGAATATAGATTGTATAATGCTCCGTAGAAATTTCTACGTAATTTGGATAAGGTCTGTAAGTTTGCTAGCATAATTAATTCGAGAATATGGGGATAATAACTTGAAAGTATTTCTATGACTGGAAAGTTTTGTTACAATGATCGTAAATTTTTATATTTGTATTATTGTATACATGTTCCCACAACGTAAGTCACTATAAGTGGTTTGAATTACTTTATTCAGAACTATTATGTTCTGTTTCAGGCGAAGGATTTGATTGAGTGACATCCATCATCCTTATGGGAATGTGAAGTTGAAATAACGTTATTCATAAAGTGGCACACTTCTCTACGGACACACGATGGTAAGAAAAAATTGCTGCTTAGACTTGCCTGGTGAAGTGTAGTACTAGAAGTACTTTCAGTGGGTGAAGGCTAACAATTTTTGCTTGTGTCTTTTCCTGCTGTGAGTGACTACGTCAGCGGTTTCCAAACTTTTTGTTCGTGCGGCGCCAAATTAAAACTCACGGCGCCCCTACACGAAATGAAATTGCTGCCTTCTAAATTTTTTTATAACGACGTCGTCTTCAGTAACATCGGGGCCGGTACCAATCAAAAAGTCTGTGTTAATGTGTACTTTATGCCTTAAAATTCGAAAACATGTGTCACTACGTCATTCAACATGATGTTACAATGTGAAAAAATAATCACGCCCACCTATGTTTTTTTTGTTACTGCTCTGCTCCAGACAGCCTATCGTTTTTATTATACCTTTGCGATCTCTATTGTGTAGCTGATGGCGTAATTTCTAGATTATGTAGTGCAGTGGGGGTTAAAATGTTGCATGATATAATTGTTACATCACAGAAGTACTCTTACTATATACAAAGCCAGACCAGAGGTCAGCAAAACGTTTGTAAACTTAAACTAATGTTTCAATTTTTAGAGAGTATGGAAGAACTACACAGCCAGTGTGTACCAAATTGAGCATCGTAAGAGCGTACGGTCGAAGTGTTAATGAACTCACAGACTAACGCAAAGACGAATGATACCTGCAGTAATTCAAAACGGACGAAGGTAACAAAGTAATAATCTACGTGTGACGTTGATTTAAGTTGTTATATATAAAGCCAGGCCCAAGGTTAGCAAAAAAAACGCTTGTTTAACTTAAATCTACTTGTTTTGATTTTCAGAGACAATGGAAGAACTACCGTGCGGTCGAAGTGTTTATGAACACCAAGAAGACTACAGCCTGTTTTTTAGGACTGAGGAAGGTAACATAGCAATAATCTATCTGTGATATTTGTCTAAATTGTAACACGTCGTTATGTTTATTTCTATCATCTCTCCAACAACTCAAGGTTCTTAATAAAGAATATATGGGGTGTCCATAAAGTCAAAATTGCAAAGTAAAATTTACCATATGTTGTTTTGGCTCTCACAGATGTATTAAATGAAGTAGAAACAATTACTGATTAAAAAACAACAAACCTGGTTAAGATATATTGAAAACTTGACTTCATAACAAATTTGAAACTGTATATGGGGACTTTATGGATTTGTATATACAGTGTGCAGCACACGCAGATGCAAGCTAAAAAATAGAGTTTAAATCGAATAGATCTGCATTAATTTGAGAATATGGGGTTAATAACTTTGCCCGCAATTATATGCCTGGAACGTTTTGTCACACCGGTAGTAAATTTTCATACTTGTATTTGTACATTTTCTCACAGAGCAAAAACCTCCTCTAAACATGGACTAAATTATCATGATAGCAATTTAAATATATTATTTTTTCTTTTTCAGATTATCTCAAAAGACACCGCATGTCGCTTTCAATCTTAACATGGTTCATTCATTATACAACATTGAACGTCCCAATATCAGCTGAGAAATGGAACTTTATTATCGTGGGTGCCACATCACATGTTCATCGGTGTTCTCATTTAAGGGTCAACAGTGTTCCCATTGACAAATCAACAGTGTTCCCCTTGACAAATCAACAGTGTTCCCCTTGACGGATCAACAGTGTTCCCCTTGACGGATCGACAGTGTTCCCCTTGACGGATCGACAGTGTTCCCCAAGTGACGGATCGACAGTGTTCCCCAAGTGACGGATCGACAGTGTTCCCCAAGTGACGGATCGACAGCGTTCCCCAAGTGACGGATCGACAGCGTTCCCTTTGATGAAATACGTGGACATATTATTGTGCTATAATGATTATAATGCAATACAGACGGATACGGACAATACGGACCAGTCGTTGAAATCCAATCTGTGAGAGGGCACTGGACTCGCTATGTTTGCATTGCGGGTTCCTGCCCACTGACTTAAATGTTGTGAAACAATTTGGCTTGGCAATGCCGAACCGGGAACGTTAGGTCCTTACAAAAACATAGCAGCTCTCATACCAGGGGCCGCTTCCGCAGTGCCTTGTTTTAAGTTAAAGACATATAGTAAACGCTGTATGGAAAAACAACCTCGTGCATTTGCATACCACAGTAACAAACTAGCTAGACAATGTCCAACCGGGCTGATCAAGGTCCTTTATACTCTATTTTGTAGGGGCTACGGGTGATTTCGTTCAATTTTTACTATGTTTTCAAATCGGTTTATTACAAACGCTCATATATTCATTATTGTATGGCCGTGTTTATTGTTGGTGAAATAATTGCTTTTCTCTTTTATATATTCGAGCAATTGCTTTATATTTTCCCTCTTTTTGTCAAATGGGTTTTTTTCGTGTCAAACTCAAATTATCTGATTCAGGGAACAATTAAGCCATAACCATTGAGTGTGTTTTCAGCTACTTATAAATATTATTTTGCTTTCATTGTTCTATAAATTTATTGCTGTGGGGTTGGGGTGGGCTCTTTACACAGAGCTGAATGTTTTCAAATGAAGGATTCATTATTCTTTATGTGTGATGTTCAGCTTTGCGTATGATTTACACAGCATTTTCCCATTTTTTTCTGTGGATAAATGTTTTAACAAATTGTGTGTATATATGCGATGTTGGACATCCTTACAAGCGAACAGGGCCAGACTTAAACCAACGCGAGCCAGATAAGTGAATTCCTGACACCCCAATAAGGGGTAAACACCCCTCTCCGATAGTTACGAACACTGTTGAATCATGTTACTCGATGGCCGTGTTTTTCGTTATTGAAATATTTTTTTTTTTGTATATTTAAGCAATTGTAATATATTTTCCCCTTTTTCAAATTTTCCAGCTGATGGATCCTTCGGGTTAAACCCAAATTATTTGACGATTCTCTTAGTGTTAAACTCAAATTATTTGATTCTGGGAAAAGCCACGGCTTCCTTGTAAAAGTATTTTGTATACCTTGTTTTATAATTTTTGCATTTTTTTTTACCAATGAAATTGCTGTTGGGTTGGGGTGGGCTCTTTACGCAGAACTGAATGTTGTTAGCCTATTTCAGCTCTGCGTATGGTTTACAGCATTTTCATATTTTTTTATCTGTGAACAAATGCTTTTATCTTTAATGTCAGTAATAAAAATTTGCAAATTGTGTATTTGTGTATATTTTTGGTATCTGACAGCCTTACATCAAACAGGCCAAATCTTAACCAACACGACCCAAATCGATAAATTCCCTACACCCCATATAGAACCCATATAGGATGTGAACGCCCTAGCCCAGAGGTCGGCAACCTGCTGCCCGTGGGCCAGATCCGGCCCGCGTAGTGAAGTAATCCGACCCGCGACGCTGCACAGAATTGTAGTAAAAAACGGCTGTTTTGACGATTACATTCTTTGCGTAACAGAATTTATTGTGAGACACGTAGACTAAATTATATTACAACCTAACAAGTATTTAATTCAAACTAACTCGTTTAATGAGCCTATAATTTATTTATATTCAGACAAATGGCAACTAAACGCAGACTAGTTGATGCTAAGTGCAAAGAGTTTAATTGGCGCCGAAAATATTCAAATGGCAAAGCAATGAGGAAATAAAAACCTATATTTTATTTGAGAGATGCGTCACTGCTTTAATTATTCTTGAATGAAATCAATATTCAAATTTGAGAAACCATGCGAAAAAATGCACATCGTTGTCTTATTTTCGAAAATGAACATTGCAAACAACAAGCTGCAACTCGGGATTAGTATTTCCCATTTGGTGGTGTCGAAACCGTATCAAGCGTGATGCAACAAAGACAGCCACATCAAATCCAATTTGTAAATTTTTTCTTCAAGTAAGGCGACTAAGTTGAGTTAATGAGTTGTTGTAGTTTTTGCGCGCTGCTCAAAATTTCAAATTCTGATCTATGTGAAAAAATTGTGATTCATCGGCCATCCGTTCGGTTTTAAACTTTTCTAAAAGATGTGCGGACCGCCAAGACTTGCAAGTTGCAACCCTTAATTTCGGCCTGCGATCAACAAAAGGGTTGCCGACCCCTGCCCTAGCATGTTGAATTTTAACCACCCCTATATTCGTGGTGTATCGCATGCTTCTAATGCCTACTACTAATGAGTATCCGGTAAGTGTCGTGTATACCAGTCCAGATGGGCGATTAAGTGCAGCCACGAAAAGTTTTATCAATAATAGGCACATCTCTCCCACCCTCTAAATTTTGAAACACCACCCCTCAATATGCAAAGCTAGGGAGCATACCGAACCAGATTTTTTTAAATAGAGCAACGATTCACGATTGTGCGTGTCATCCTTGCGCAGGGGCCATTCTAATCTGCTCTGTATCGTTCCAATTTTTTCATCATATGTACACTCGCAGGTAGAACCCGAACCGGATTTCACGATGAAAATTACGAGTGTACAAAATAAACGCCCACCTTTAACATACGCCAACCTATAGCACATTAGCATTTTCATCAAGAACTATGCCGGGGCCTATGAAAGTGCAGGCTCCACCTACCGTCGCATTGGTTAGACTTGCAATCATATAAGCAGCCCTTTTATGTCTGCCAGGATAAAGTGGGATCCGTATTTTTGTCAATGGCAAGGGAGATAGAAATGTATATATTATAATTATGTATATATATAACATGTTTTTAAGGCGCTGTTGAGTTGAAGATTGGTAATATTCTGCCCATTTCGGTGTACTTGTTAGATCTTGAAAGCCTTCAAACCTTACATCAAGCTGATCTCTCAAATTATCAGGAAAACCCACACCTACACGAAAAATATGCTGCCACAATTTTGTCTTCGTTTAATTCCGCGATTCGTGAATCTCTCAACCAACTCATATCTTCTAGTTTTACTGAAGAGGGATAATATTAAATCGATCTTACCTAAGATGGTGTTAAATATAATAAAAAAAAGTGCATAACGATTAGTTTTACTTGGTTTTAAAAGCGTTGCGCACTCCTACACCCTTTGCGATTTCGTATTTATAACAAGTAGGATTTCCTACTACGGCCCATTAAATGTGATTTCACTGACTGTCGTTAAGTTTTGTATGTTCGTTTAAAATTAAATGAAACTCATTGCAAAAAAGGTCTTTTATTGAAAGGTATCAATACGTATTTTTCACGGGAGTCGCAACTTGAGCATATTTTTGGAGGGCGTCACAATACAATGAAGTTCGATAACCACTGAGTCCTAGTCGATAGCAAGAAATCTTTTCTATTTTTAAATGGTTACTAGTCTATGTACCAGTTATTTTGAATCAAAACGTGCTGTTTATAAGTAAATGGAAATCGGTATTCATATTTTGTATATTAAGGATTATCGTTATTCACTGATCAAAAATAAATTCTGAGGTTCAGTTTGAAATGGAAATATATTATAAAAGGTCCACACTCCGGCGACTCACAAAATTTATTGCTAGCTGCTCAGTCTTGAATGTTTTTATTTCCGTATTGAAAGTGCGTGGTTTCGGTCGCTGCTTTATTCTTAGCATAGATGCAACATTCACAAAACAGTATATTATGTTTGTGTCTGCAACAAAAGACGAACAGTGAAGTAACTTGATGCAAATGGAATTTACAATATACCTTTGTTTTTTAGGGTTGTTGGATGAATTACTTATTTTGGGGTAGATATTCCTAATAAATTAAATACAAATACAGATGAAATCACGCACGTCATGAACAAGGAGTCTATCCTTATTAGTATCTAACCGCCGAGGTGTTATTGATACTTATCATTGCATTTTCTACAGTTTACCTATGAAATATCAGCTTAAAAAAAGATGCCGAATCTATTTTGTTTTGAGTTCACCTGCTCAAAAGATAATTGCATGTGTGGCGATGGCTGGAAGACTAGAATAAGAAAAAGTTTTGTCAAAGTTACACCTGTATGTAACTTGATAATGAACATCTACTCAATTTTATCAACTCGTTGGTTAGTATCTGTGAATGATACAGTATTTCAAGGATTATCCTTCTACTGTGGTGCTGGAAATGATTTCAATTGCACTGTGACTTCAAGAAATTGCACTGCCTGTTTGGATCCTGGCAAAAATAATCGTTGTGAAAATTTAGGTGAATCCTATCTACTTACGTCATATATTATAATTGTTATTACTATATATATAAAACACTCTGTTGTTAACGCATTCTGTACCACACCAATTTGCTGCTTTTTGAGCTACTGGGTGAAAGAAAAATAATATTTTTGCATATTTCCAATAATTTTCAAAATCATTTTTCAAAGCCATCAAAGTAGCTGTTTGTCTGAAAACTTGCCTTCGTAAAATAATAAAATTTAAATCTTAATAATCTTGTTATTGAAGTACTTTGTCTCTTTCATTAATAATTTGAATTACTCATTACCGGAAGTATTTTAGTTGATTGAATCATAATTTATTTTTATAGTGTCTTCCGTCCTGGCCTCTAGACGTTGGTAATATTATGGCACGTTATAATTTTTGCAAGCTCTCAATCTTTTTGCCACCGCCTATCTTTCTCTCTCTCTCTCTCTCTCTCTCTCTCTCTCTCTTATAGCTATAACAATATGACACTTATAGGTAAATTGGTACTCCAGTAGTATATGTACCAGGTTAGGGTTAGGCCATGATTTTTTCCGATTTTCCTCATTTTAGTTCTATAGCGGGTTCGGGACTGTCTGTGTTAGCCAAGTGGATATATCCCCTACCCATAAATTTCAGTCTCTTTACACAACTTGATGTAAAGTAGGCGAACAAAATTTGTTACCTCCATATTGGTACAGATACTTCTGGTCTCTGATTTTTCAATCTATAATCATTAGGATACACACTTTAATAGGAGTATATATCTGAAATTTGCTTCTACTGTTTCTATCGCCAACGTCTATTTATTAGCGGCTATGTCATAATCCAATCAACATATATATTTAAGCGTTAGCTCGTCCATAGGTTATGTCCCCACTTTACACGGCTTGTAACCTTGTTAGGAACGCTAAAAAAGTTCGAGCAGTAACTAATGTGCTACACATTTTGTACAATGTTTAAATGCTACATATATATACATTTTACAGTTGAGATTTATCTAATAATTAAATTCTGAGTACGGTAGAAAAAAGTCGGTATCGACTCTGCAAAATAATCTTGCAATACAGATTATGATGATATTGAAGTAATATTGCTATTCGTGATTGATTGCTAATTTGGAAACACTTCTAATAATCATTAAAGAATATATAAATAACTCTATGTAGTATATGGAATTTTATGAAATTGTCGATTGTTCAGTAGAACTATTTCCAGATGTTTAGAACTATCAACATTGCGGTATTATTGGGAGAGATAATAAATATAGATGGGGATAATCGTGGCTGGTGACATCATTGACAGAGGTGTTAGAAGGAAATTTTGATTTTTCCAATCATTTATACGCGGCCTGCATTTACCGCTAATAAACTCTAAAGCAGGGTCGTCCAACCCGTGGCCCGCAGGCCACATGTGGCCCGCCGAGGAGTTTCGAGTGGCCCGCGCTGTATTTTCGGAATTAAATAAAAAATAAATTGAGTAAAACTTCTATTTTTCTAGTGAGGTAGTTAATATGAAGATTTGATACAAACAATTTGTTCATTTTCTTGATATGCGCTCTGCTAGCCCTTTCAAACGAGCCATGAGTGTCATCACCAACTGGAAGATATCTATACATAAATAGTAGCTTACACACTTGGGCAGAATGGCAGTATTAATGACCTCATAACTTGGCAGCACGTACTCGTACAATCAAGTTTTTTTCACAGATGAACCATGTCAAATCTCCTGTGGGATCACTAATTTCTGACAGTCATATGGTAAATTCGCTTCGCATTGGTACATCGTCTATTTCAGCGAATATTGACAAACTTGTTAGCGAAAAACAGTGCCAAACTTCACACTAAAATATCTACCTGTAGAAAAAACTTTGTTGACTTTACTGTATCTTCGTTTTTTTATTGTTCCTATTATTGAGAAAGTTTGGTGCGAGGGTTTTGTTTGTTTTTTCATCAACTTTTAGTCAGTGTAGCAAAACTAGAACATAATTACCATGTTAGGTGGCCCGCGCAATTAATAGTAAACTAAATGTGGCCCGTCGGCCAAAAGGATTGGCCGACCCTGCTCTAAAGTATAAACACTTTGTTTGCTTCAATTTATACAAGCTCCGATGATTGTTTCACAACGTGGCCTTCACATCTTAGCCTTATATGTAATGGCCTAGGACCATGTTGTGGACTAATCTGTGTTTAACTGCATCCCGCCACAACACTTTAGCAGTTAAACACAGATAAGTCATCAATATGGTCCTAGGCGATCAGTTAACTTGACTGTTATTGAGATAAGGTATCGGACATAACGATATCAAATTAATAACTACTTCTATGCAGATAAGACATTATTATACTTACCAATTCGGATGACTGAAATAACGGCGCTACAGAGGTGTGCGTACCAGTATAGAGGCAACTAATTTTGTTCGCCTACTTTACATCAAGTTGTGTAAAAGGGCTGATCCCTATGGGCAGGGGGTATATTCAGTCTGATAACAGAAGCAGTCCCTGAACTCGTAATAGAACTAACGTAAGGAAAATCGGAATGAAATCATGTCCGAACCCTAACCTGGTTTATGCCATGATGACAAAATCGCTGTAGTGAATTGGTAAAATAACGTAGTTTATTGTTTGCAATTTTCTAAAACAGAATAGTTTGAAGTGTCTTTTTCATCACATCTGAGTGAGATACTTTCTAAAGTTCAGCACGAAATGCTGATAGTAATAATAAAATGAGAGATGTTAAGCACTCCAACAAAGATTCTGATACTTCAGAAGAACTGACTACCCATTAAAAACAACGATATTTAATTTTACCCAACTTGTTTTTCTTTTCTATAATGCACTCATTGAACTTCCCTTCTATGTCCTGAGATGTATATTGATGCGGGATGAAAATTTTTTTCGCGCATTTTTTAATCACTCGTATTCGCACCGTTTCAAAAAGCATTAGGTTTAAAAATGCGACCCATGTTTATCATTTTTTCATTACTGTTTATTGAACTTGTTCAATTTTGGTATTTTTTGTATTCCGTTTTTATATCGGTTTCATTCACTCATTTATTGTAAATTCGATATTAGGATAAAGTAGATCCGAGTTAATTGGGCAATTTTACTCTTTTTGTCTCTCATTTTAACACTATGCTAATACTTTCAACGGGACCTATTACCAAGTATATAAGGGCTAGAAATTGTACTGTTAGCAGCCATATAATATTGTTTGCCAATATTACTAACAGCATATGAGGATTTATACTATGTCAATAGTCGTATTACAGTTTATTCATACGCATGCATAATATGGGGATATTACAAA